ACCAGTACCCCCTGTATATAGCGTCGCAATTGTTATTTTTACTGCTGCTCTTTCATTATTTGTTACTTTTATTTCATATAGTATATTTTTTTGTGATTTTTTTTTGGGGTATTCTTTCTTAAAACTGCATTGTTGGTTAAGGGCTTGTAAGTAAGCATTTCACTGTAAGGTCTACACCTGTTGTATTCGGCGCAAGTGACAAATAACATTTGATTTGATTTGATTTGAGACACACACACACACACAAACACACACACACACACACACAAAGACGCTCAAGAAAGATTCATTCCTTTCTGAATTCTTTCCATTCTGTACTTGGCACTCCATTATTGAAGAGAGATAGCAGGAAACAGCTAGCTATATATCTGACTCATGAAGTGCTATATAGAACCTTAAAGGGTTCTTTGGCTGTCCCCATAGGATAACCTTTTGAAGAACCCTTGTTAGTTCCAGGTAGAACCCTTTTGGATCCAATTAGAACCATTTTGGGTTCCATGTAGAACCCTCAGTGGAAAGGGTTCTACCTGGAACCCAAAATGGTTTTACCTGGAACCAAAAAGGGTTATCCTATGCGGAGAGCCAAAGAACCCTTTTGGAACCCTTTTTTCTAAGGGTGTAACTAGAGCTCTGCTTACGTCACTCAAACGTTCACACAAATCTTCCATAGACATCATTTGCATTATGTGACTGTGAAAGAGTGAGATATGCAAGAAGAAATCAGTAGTCATATAACCATGACAAAGGACTTTTTCTCTCTCTATCTATTGTAAAGATGTAATTCAGTTTTGTGCTGAATGTTTGTTGATAGCTGCTAATACTCTTAATACTGTATACTACTATGTCTTCAAAATTACCTTAAATGTTTTCACTTCATTCAACACAGTGAATCTCTACTCCTCACAGAAACGTTTTAAAGACCATGGCTGGTTGTTTCATTTCACAAACAGGTTTCATTCACCTCCATGTATGGCTTGCACCAATAGTCTGAGGAGTTCTCAAAAGCACTAGCACATCTAAGACCATGGGGCATTTTAAATAATGCCCTTTTGAGGCCTGAACTTTCTAAATCAGTCCCGGGAGAAAGGCTTCAGACTTTTAAACAGTCTAGTAGTCTAGTATTCAAGGGGTTATTGTTTTGCATTCCTTTATTTGCTAGCTACAGCCCGTTGGGTGAACAAATGTTGTGGTTAGCTTCCTCTGTGGCCAGCTTGTAACTGTGACTCATGTCCATGTCCGGAGGAGAGAGGCATGGTGGGGCTGGAGTTGGGTTTAGAGGGGCAAAAGGGAGTAGACTTTGATGATGACACACACACACGCACATGCACACACACACACACACACACAAAGACACACACACACACAGACACAGACACACCCTCCACGCCATTGCATTGTCAGCAACTTATCAGTTTGTCAACTGTCTTTAGTCTGAAGGTCTGAGGGTTGAAGTCAGGTTATATGATCATGCTGTAACTGTACACAACAGTGTTTTACAGTATCATGCTACATTCTCCGTCAGAATGTTTCTGTCAGAAGTTCTCCAGTGATTGTTTGATATAGAAAGGGGCCTGTGGTTTCCTGTAGGCCTGTCCAAAGTAAACCTCATAATACTACTGTAATGGGATTAGTGGTGGAGGTTTGACTGACTGGGAAACCTGGCTCAACAGGAAGAGGTTAGGAAGTTACTGTAACACACTCACACACACACATGAGCAGGCACACACACACACAAACACACACACACACTGAGTTAGAATACCTAATAATGAGCTGCAGACCATACTATTTACCAAGAGAGTTTTCATCTATATTTTTCATAGCTGTCTATTTATCACCACAAACTGATGCTGGCTCTAAGACCGCACTCGACGAGTTGTATAGGGCCATAAGAAAACAAGAAAATGCACATCCAGAGATGGTGCTTCTCGTGGTCGGTGATTTTTATGCAGGGAAACTGAAATCTGTTTTACCTTATTTTTACCAGCATGTCACCTGTGCAACTGGAGGTGACAAAACCTTTGATCACCTTTACTCCATACACAGAAACAGATACAAGGCTCTCCCTCGCCCTTCCTTTGGCAAATCTCACTATAACTCTATCCTCCTGATTACTGCTTACAAGCAAAATCTTAAACAGCAAGTACCAGTGACACGCTCAATACAGATGTGGTTCGATGAAGCGTATGCTAAACTACAGGACTGTTTCGCTACCACAGACTGGAAATGTTCCAGGATTCATCCGATAACATTGAGGAGTTTACCACATCAGTCAACCGGCTTCATTAATAAGTGCATCGACGATGTTGTCGTCCCCACAGTGAACGTACCTACATATTGTGATGAGGTGTGAATAACGGGGTAAAACACCGAAATCCAGAGTTTATTCAGTGTACATGAATAAAGCGCAGCAAGCGTCAAAACGAAACTAGCAGAAGGGAAAAATCCACCTTGGCTACATACAAGGAAAGAGTAGCTCAACTGAGCTACTCACTCTCACAATGAACAATCACTCACAGAGGGAACACTTATACACAGACTAATGAGGGAATGAGTACCAGGTGTGTGTGATTGACAAGACAAGACAAGACAAATGGAGTGATGATAAATGGAGCGGTAGTGGCTAGTAAGCCGGTGACGACGAACGCCGAAACCTGCCAGAGCAAGGAGGGGCAGCCTCGGCTGAATTCGTGACACATATCCCAATCAGAAACCATTGATTACAGGCAACATCCGCGCTGAGCTAAAAGCTAGAGCTGCCGCTTTTAAGGAACGGAACACTAATCCGGATGCTTATAGGAAATCCCGCTACGACCTCCGACGAACCTACTACGCCAGCTCTGACGCTCGTCGGATATAGCAGGGCTTGCAAACTAGCATGGATTACAAAGGGAAACCCAGCCACGAGCTGCCCAGTGACACGAGTCTGCCAGACGAGCTAAATGCTTTCTATTCTCGCTTAGAGGAAATGGAGGTCCGAGCACGCCCCCTTCGACATCGATGGGGCTGTACTGGAGTGGATCGAGAGCTTCAAGTTCCTCGGTGTCCACATTACTAAGGAATTAACATACCTACACAGTCATGAAGAAGGCACACCAATGCCTCTTCCACCTCAGGAGGCTGAAAATATTTGTCATGGGCCCTCAGATCCTCAAAATGTTCTACAGCTGCACCACTGAGAGCATCTTGACTGGCTGCATCACCTCTTGGTATGGTAACTGCTTGGCATAGTGCTTAATCCACACTGTCTGCTATCTCACTCAAAAGGTCACATAGGAGATACTTTATAAAAGCACATTTCCCTCAGCGTCTGAGGTTGCTCCAGGACTCAATATGATCATTTATTTGAATTGCATAACCTAAGCGAGATGATTTAGCCGTTATGCGCACTTAATGAAATAGTGCGGAGACTGTATAACTGGGCTATACTGTATGTGCAGATGGTAACAATCTAGTCCCTGACAAAATAATGCAGTGCTCTGAGTGCAGGCCGCATTACACACTCCTCAAAACGCAATGACCCACTTAGAAAATGACCCCCGAGAGAGATTCTTAAGGAACGACTGATGACAAGTTGGATAGAAAACAGTCATGGATAAACACACACATGCATACAAAAACACCCAGCCACACCCACCCACACACACACACACACACACACCTACACACACACACGATGCCATACACCCATATGGCAAATAAGCAACATGTGCATGCGGCGCTAGCAGCCAAACCTTTCATTACGCCATGCCCAGAAACTGCTCACAAACACCCTCTAGCTAACGAATCAGGGGGATTTGGAGTGTTAATTAATTGGTCATTTATTCTAGTGGTCTTTATTCTGGCACTGTCCAACAAAGGAATGTTTGTCCTTATCCCAAAAATGCTTATATTAGCCTACAATTACTCATAGTGATTATATCATGGTATTGCCCAGTAGATTGAGACATGCTGTATGCACACTGAAATGATTAATCTGTGACCTGAAGTGAGTCTGAGATACTTGTTGCTTTGATGGTGAAGTCTTAGTCCAGGTGGTGTTTGTCCCATCAAGACCAGGGCACTATCACTCCACCAATGATGATGTCACACCTGGTTCCGTACAGTATGTTGGTCTTGCATCATGGGAACCTGCATCTGCCAAAGAGTGCTGTGTGATGTCTCCAGCTTCTCCCCCATTGGCTCGGTCCAGAAACATCTGTTGTGATGTCACTGGGTTGGCGAGGAGCTCCAGGTGACAGGACTATCTGAACTTTTTTTACATTTACATTTAAGTAATTTAGCAGACGCTCTTATCCAGAGCAACTTACAGTTAGTGAGTGCATACATTTTTCATACTGGCCCCCCATGGGAATCGAACCCACGACCCTAGCGTTGCAAGCGCCATGCTCTACCAACTGAGCTACATGGGCCTCTTTTCCATGACACCAGTAAAACATGCACTCAGCTCAAGGGTTAAGGTTTACTAGGGACACTGGCTTGAATAAGCCTGAGAGGTGATGGCCATTAAAGACTGTGTGAAAGCATGCCTATCTGTCTGTGTCTCTCTATGGGGAGCTAGCGCTAGCCTAGCGGTGTGGGTTAGCCTAGCGGTGTGGGCTAGCCTAGTGGTGTGGGCTAGCCTATCGGTGTGAGCTAGTCTAACGGTGTGGGTTAGCCTAGCGGTGTGGGTTAGCCTAACAGTGTTGGTTAGCCTATTGGTGTGGGTTAGCCTAGCAGTGTGGGCTAGCCTGGCAGTGCAAAGCCCATTTTACAGGAGCAGCCTGGGCCCAGCGTGTGTATTAGTCTACGCTAATGCCTTCCAGATGAACAGGTATTATCCTTCTATACAGTCTCACAAAACGGATGATTGTTCAACGGGTTCTCCCTCCTAACGAGGACCATGTGTGGTGGGGAGTGTGTGTGAGTGTATAGAGATGTGTGTGTCTGTGGGGAGTTGCTGAGGGGGGATCATTGAGAGAGAGGGAGAGGGACTGGGATGGAAGGGGTGAAGTATGGTAATGCTTCCACGTTCTCATCCTCTTGGCAAATTAGGTGAAACTGTGGCAGATTTGTAATCCATTGAAGTGGAAGGTAATGGTTGGAAATAAAAGTACAAGCCAGATCACCTTCACAATGCAGAAAGAGATATGAGGGGACAGGGTTAGTCAGTGCAGTGCAGCACAGTTTGCGGACCAATTCATCATCAGTATTAATATTCATAATCATGAATTCATTATGAATAGACACGTAACTAACTCATCAGGTCTTTATATGAATTCATGTGCTATCCATGCACTATATGTGTCATATTCATGTCCATTCATGTCCTATTCATGTGATTTAATACAGTATTTTATTGATTGTGTTTCAGAGCGGGGCTCCCAGGGCCAGCTAGACCTGACCGAGCTGATCGGCGTTCCTCTCCCCCCATCGGTTTCCTTCATCACGGGGTTCGAGGGCTACCCGGCCTACAGCTTCGGGCCCGACGCCAACGTGGGCCGCCTCACCAAGTCCTTCATCCCCGACCCCTTCTACCACGACTTTGCCATGACCGTCACCGCCAAGCCCACCACGCAGCGCGGTGGGGTCCTCTTCGCAATCACTGACGCCTACCAGCGGGTGGTGCACCTTGGGGTGGCGTTGAGCCCTGTGGAGGATGGGTCTCAGCGGGTGGTTCTCTACTACACCGACCCGGGTGTTGGGAGGACCCAGGAGGCGGCCAGCTTCAAGCTGGGTGACCTGACAGGGCGGTGGGCCCGCTTCACGCTGACTGTGCAGGGGGCGGAGGTGCGCCTCTACATGGACTGTGAGGAGTACCACCGTGTGGCCTTCCAGAGGAGCCCGGAGCCCCTCACCTTCGAGGCCAGCTCGGGCATCTTTGTGGGCAACGCTGGTGGCACAGGGCTGGACAGGTTTGTGGTGAGTTGACGGGTGGGGTTTTGTTTTTGTGGTGTTTTTGCAAGCTTTTTTTGTGTTAGTGTGGAGGGGGGGTGGGGGGTTATTTTATATTGATTAGGCCTATAGTGTGTTAGTGTTAAGTGTCCTCTGCTTGGTTTTCATGCTCGTGTGCATGGTTGCTGTGTGGCTGTTGGGCAATGCAAGCATGGCGCAAAGCATTTAGAGTGGCGCATTATGCATTTTGGAACGTACTGTAGCTACACACTTGATGCCAGCCAAGGCCTCAGCCTTTCCAGGATGAAATCAGATCTCACTCTGATTCAAATGTTCTGATTCCATAATGATTTTCCTCAGCGCTACAATGATTCAATTGAGCGTGTGCCCCAAACCCAACAGTAATGAATCCCAAAATGGAGTGTTCAGAAGTGGTCATAGTGAGTGACAGCTGATGGCATCAGGTTTGATCATCAGGGCTCGCCACAGGGCTGGCAGCATGGCTCGCCTCCATAGGCTTTGAACGACTTCACTGTCGGTTGTCTGGGAAAGAGACAGTAGGGTGAGTCAGTGTGGAGAACTTGACTAGGAGCTGGGCTCACCACTTCTGCTGGTCAGCCATTTTTAAGGCATGAAAAACATGACTGTAAACCCTGATGCAACGTAATGAAAATAGCAAAGGATAGAGGACTGAATGACCTAAGATGTTTATAAGATATACAATAAATGCTATAAATTATGGAATGACCGTATCGTGCAACAAACCAGTGTTTACTTAGCTGGAGAGTGTTTACTTAACTCTGAATTTGTTGTCAAATGATTAGATGAAGAGAAAATTGACATTGCTTAACCAGTTTTCAGTCAGACTGTGACTCGAACCCGGCTCTTCTGCGAGCCACAAGACTGTGTTATCCCATTGACCTAAAGCCTAGGCATTACAATGCAGCTTACAATGCACTAGGGCACTGTATTGCAGTGCTAGCTGTGCCACTAGAGATCCTGGTTCGTATCCAGGGTCTGTCGTAGCCGGCCGTTACCGGGAGACCCATGGGGCGGCGCACAATTGGCCCAGCGTCGTCCAGGGTAGGGGAGGGAATGGCCGGCAGGGATGTAGCTCAGTTGGTAGAGCATGGTGTTTGCAACGCCAGGGTTGTGGGTTCGATTCCCACCGGGGGACAGTATAAAAAAATATTAAAATAATGTATGCACTCACTAACTGTGAGTCGCTCTGGATAAGAGCGTCTGCTAAATGACTAAAATGTAAATATAAAATAACCAATCAAATGCTACTTCCACTCCACCATACCACTACTTAATGTTGTACTAAACGGAATGGATGAACTAATAAATCATTGCCTGCTTCAGTTTTAAAGTGCACCAAAAAGCTTTTGCCAAGCAGCTATTTTCCTCTCAATAAAGTTTCATTGGAGCAAGGTTACAGTTAAAGTTACAGTTAACCTAGGGGAGAAGAGCAGGAAACTATTTCTGTTCCAACCTGCTTGTTTCAACCAGCACCAGCCTATCTCTTCTCAATTAGCACCCGGGATCAAAACAGACTTCTCACTGATCAGAGCCTATCAAATTATAAATCACTCTGTGTTCATTGCTCATCTTTCTTTACTCCGCTCTCTTTCTCTTGCTCTGCCATGAACTTGGCTCCGCCGCGCGTGCGTGCGTGCGTGTGTGTGTGTGCGTGTGCGTGCGTGCAGCCAGGCAGGCATGGTAGACAAACCATGCTGGTTTGGGACCAGTGGTCTTCAGTAACAGCCAGTTCTGATAGTGACTCCCATGTTTCTTTTATTTTAGTTTTAAATATATTTAAGCAGAATATAAAATCTTGCTAAGAGACTTTGTGTAACCCTAACGTAAGCAGTATATGCTAAGCTACAGGACTGTTTTGCTAGCACAGACTGGAACATGTTCCGGGATTCTTCAGATAGCATTGAGGAGTACACCACATCAGTCACTGGCTTCATCAATAAGTGCATTGATGATGTCATCCCCACAGTGACCGTACGTACATACCCCAACCAGAAGCCATGGATTACAGGAAACATCCGCACTGAGCTAAAGGGTAGAGCTTCCGCTTTCAAGGAGCGGGACTCTAACCCGGACGCTTATAAGAAATCCCGCTATGCCCTCCGACGAACCATCAAACAGGCAAAGAGTCAATACAGGACTAAGATTAAATCGTACTACACCGGCTCTGACGCTCGTCGGATGTGGCAGGGCTTGAAAACTATTACAGACTACAAAGGGAAGCACAGCCGCGAGCTTCCCAGTGACCCAAGCCTACCAGACGAGCTAAACCACTTTTATGCTCGCTTCGAGGCAAGCAACACTGAAGCATGCATGAGAGCACCAGCTGTTCCGGATGACTATGTGATCACGCTCTCCGTAGCCGATGTGAGTAAGACTTTTAAGCAGGTCAACATTCACAAGGCCGCAGGGCCAGACGGATTACCAGGACGTGTACTCCGAGCATGTGCTGACCAACTGGCAAGTGTCTTCACTGACATTTTCAACATGTCCCTGACTGAGTCTGTAATACCAACATGTTTCAAGCAGACCACCATAGTCCCTGTGCCCAAGGACACTAAGATAACCTGCCTAAATGACTACCGACCCGTAGCACTGACGTCTGTAGCCATGAAGTGCTTTGAAAGGCTGGTCATGGCTCACATCAACACCATTATCCCAGAAACCCTAGACCCACTCCAATTTGCATACCGCCCCAACAGATCCACAGATGATGCAATCTCTATTGCACTCCACACTGCCCTTTCCCACCTGGACAAGAGGAACACCTACGTGAGAATGCTACTCATTGACTACAGCTCAGCATTCAACACCATAGTGCCCTCAAAGCTCATCACTAAGCTAAGGATCCTGGGACTAAACACCTTCCTCTGCAACTGGATCCTGGACTTCCTGACAGGCCGCCCCCAGGTGGTAAGGGTAGGTAACAACACATCTGCCACACTGATCCTCAACACGGGGGCCCCTCAGGGGTGCGTGCTCAGTCCCCTCCTGTACTCCCTGTTCACCCATGACTGCATGGCCAGGCACGACTCCAACACCATCATTAAGTTTGCCGACGACACAACAGTGGTAGGCCTGATCACCGACAACGATGAGACAGCCTATAGGGAGGAGGTCAGAGACCTGGCCGTGTGGTGCCAGGATAACAACCTCTCCCTCAACGTGACCAAGACAAAGGAGATGATTGTGGACTACAGGAAAAAAAAGAGGACTGAGCACGCCCCCATTCTCATCGACGGGGCTGTAGTGGAACAGGTTGAGAGCTTCAAGTTCCTTGGTGTCCACATCACCAACAAACTATCATGGGCCAAACACACCAAGACAGTCGTGAAGAGGGCACGACAAAGCCTATTTCCCCTCAGGAGACTGAAAAGATTCGGCATGGGTCCTCAGATCCTCAAAAAATTCTACAGCTGCACCATCGAGAGCATCCTGACTGGTTGCATCACCGCCTGGTATGGCAACTGCTTGGCCTCCGACCGCAAGGCACTACAGAGGGTAGTGCGTACGGCCTAGTACATCACTGGGGCCAAGCTTCCTGCCATCCAGGACCTCTATACCAGGCGGTGTCAGAGGAAGGCCCTCAAAATTGTCAAAGACTCCAGCCACCCTAGTCATAGACTGTTCTCTCTGCTACCGCACGGCAAGCGGTACCAGAGTGCCAAGACTAGGTCCAAAAGACTTCTCAACAGCTTCTACCCCCAAGCCATAAGACTCCTGAACAGCTAATCATGGCTACCCGGACTATTTGCACTGCCCCCCCCACCCCATCTTTTTACGCTGCTGCTACTCTGTTAATTATCACTTTAACTCTACCCTCATGTACATATTACTTCAACTACCTCAACTAGCCGGTGCCCCCGCACATTGACTCTGCACCGGTACCCCCCTGTATATATAGCCTCCCTACTGTTATTTTATTTTACTTCTGCTCTTTTTTTCTCAACACTTTTTTGTTGTTGTTTTATTTTACTTTTTTATTAAAAATAAATGCACTGTTGGTTAAGGGCTGTAAGTAAGCATTTCACTGTAATGTCTGCACCTGTTGTATTCGGCGCATGTGGCCAATAAAATTTGATTTGATTTGATATGTTTTAGATGTCCCCCTTGATAGCACCATTAATTAATTAACTTATCATCACAACACAAGACCTTCATGTCTGCTGGCTTTGCAACAGTCACTTGGTTCTAACAGACATGGTTGTTTATACAATATGATGGCTTGTGCTGTGAGGAAAACATTCTGCTTGCTGGGTGCCAGTCTGTTTCTGCTGGAGCCAGCTTGTTGTTATCCTGCCAAACAGTGTGCAGAAAAGGTTAGTCAGTCTAGCCAATGCTCCTCAGATTACAGACAGGCCATGTGATAACGTTACTTATGCTGATTCAGTCAGGTCTGAGGAAGAGAGAGGTACACTCCCCCTCCTCCCCGTCTGCAGCCAAGAGACAATCCAGCTTGGCTGAGACATGGCTCTCTGTGCCTTTGGCCACATCCCCATTCTCATAAATCTAAGCACACTACTCCCTTCTGTCACAGGGCTGAATACTCCTACCATACTAAGCATACCCTCTAGCTGCTTTTATATGTGCCTTCTTTCATTTACTGTAAATGTCCCTTTTCTAAAATAATGTGTATTTACAAGTTGCATTTTATTGTTCAGCTTTTACTGCTGTATTTGTGTTTACTTGATGGTGTCAAATCTGTTTACTTCACTGTTCTATTGTTTATGTTTATTTGGTTGACTTTCCCTCTCCCCTTGTATCCTTGTATGTTGTGTGTTTATGTCCACATCCTGTTAGATTAGTAACAAATAGCCAATAGTGGACATGGATCAAAACAACACTATGGGGCGATACTCTGCAGCTGACCCTGTCCTACTTCCAGCCTCTCCTATGTACTATTTGTGTGTGTGGTGTTTGGGGAGTTGGGATTAACATAAGACAGCAACAATAAGAATATCAGATTCACATTGGACAGTATAGTTTTATTCTATTCTTTTTATTTTCTCAGTTATGTCATCGTAGGGGTGAAAAGCAACATCAGTAGTCTACAGTAGCATTACAGCAGTATTACAGATCAGGGTGGGATTCGGCCTCTAGAGCAGCTATGTTTTTATTATCGCCCATTTGGCACTGGTATCACACAGAGTGAGCAATGCACGCAAACACATACAATATACAATCACACGCAATCACACAGATACTGATCAGTATGGATAATTTGAATCAGCTATGTAGTGTTAGGGCAAAAAACGAAACGTGCACCGAGTTTGGGAAAGGCTGGTGTTTAGGGTTGGTCCATTCTCACTCAGACCAAAGTCCTATACATCCACAACCACATGGCTAGGCCTCGTGTTGGACGTATTGGTCAAGCTTGCCCGTTCTCACAGCTAAAATTGTTATTCTACAGAGAATGTAAAGTGTTCTTGTGGCTTTTGTTTTTTTCATCAGTAGTGGATTGCATTGGTATAGAATGGGTCTTTTAGCAGCTGAACACGATTGATGGTAGTGTTTCCTATTTGGAAGGTTTACTGGGGGCGGCAGGTAGCTTAGTGGTTAAGAGCGTTGTGCCAGTAACTGAAAGGTTGCTGGTTCTAATCCCTGAGCTGACTAGGTGAAATATCTGTCGATGTGCCCTTGAGCAAGGCACTTAACCCTAATTGCTCTGGATAAGAGCGTCTACTAAATAAAATAAATAAATACTGATCACAATGTGTTTAATTCAACAAAATTCCTGATTGTGCTATACCATACTCTTCTCACGTCTTTTTTCTACTTGACAATTAAGATTGATCTCAGAAAAGCTCATTAAACTTTGATGGAATCAGAGCTCGCTGTTGCGTGGCACATTTGTTGTTTATCTGCAAACTCTGTTTACAGCATTAACAGATGGACTTGATTTGATTTACCCAGATTGATCCTGCCTCTCGTCTCCCCTCCTCTCCTCTCTTATGGATTAAAAACAGGTGTTTGTCCTCTGGATAGAACCCATAAACAGATTAACCAAGCATGCCTTTGTCCATTTGCAACCCTCCTGTCACTCATTGTTATTGTTAGAGTGGGATCTATGTTCTGTTAGAGCTATAGCAGTTTAAAGGTTGCTTGTCTTGAACAGTTCTTGCCAGTAAGACGAGAGGCACCTGTTCACCATACTTAAAATGCTTATTTCAATTTCAGTAAAACGTTGTGGAATGGTATTACTGATGGAGAGTGAGAGTGGTCATGCATTTGATGTGTGTGTGTGTGTGTGTGTGTGTGTGTGTGTGTGTGTGTGTGTGTGTGTGTGTGTGTGTGTGTGTGTGTGTGTGTGTGTGTGTGTGTGTGTGTGTGTGTGTGTGTGTGGACGTGTTTAACTGTTCTTGTGGGGACCAGAAGTCCCCACAAGAGTAGTAAACGAACAAAGAGTTGACCAACTGGGAACATTTTGTTAGTCCCAATGAGGTCAAATGCTATTTCTAGGGGGTTTAGGGTTAAGGTTAGAATTTAACGTTAAGGGTTAATGTTATGAGCTAGGGTTAGGGTTAGGGTTAAGGTTAGGTTTTTGGGTTAAGGTTAGGGTTAGGGTAAGAGTACGGGTTAGGGTTAGGGGTTAGGGAAAATAGGATATTGAATGGGACTGAATTGTGTGTCCCCACAAGGTTAGCTGTACAAGACTGTGTGTGTGTGCGTGCGTGCGTGCAGGGGCACAAGGGTTTATGCATTTACTGTGAGTGTGTACACTAGTGTTATTATGACTTACCATCTCCCCCCTCTTTCTCTCCCTCTATCCCCACAGGGTTCTATTCAGCAGCTGGTTCTGAAGGGGGACCCCACAGCCCCAGTTGACCAGTGTGAAGAGGATGACCCCTATGTGAGTGTGTCCCCTCAATCCCAATACTCTACCTTAAAGGACAATTCCACCCAAAAACTATCTTTTGGTATTTGGTTCATTAGTCCATTGTTGATATAGTCCCAAAATGTTTTCAAGATATATAACTTTCCAAATACAGCTGGTATGATAAGCACTAATAGGTAGGACTGGGTAGGTTTCCACCATACAACTATTACCTATGAAACATTTTCAAAGGTAAAGTAAAGTAAAGAATGCAATGAGAGGCTATTTAAGGCTATTGGAACAGTATTGGTGTTTAACACCAGAGACACTGGTAAAGTACTATACATGGGCTAGGCTAGCTACAAGGTTCACTGATATCCTCAAAGCTTGAGGTAGAAGTTGCCTCTAACCTGTGTCCTAGGATCAGATGACTCCACCCCCAATACTAAAACTATGATGAAAATTTAAAATCTGACCCTGAATCAGTGGTAATGGGCTGAACTACTACCTACTCCATCCTTAAACCTGAGACAGGCTCATGATGAATGGGCTCATCCCCCCCTCTTGTGGTTGTGAGAGAGCATCACAGGGCTGTGTGTTAAATAAAATAAAATAAAATAAAATAAAATGTTATTGGTCACATACACGTGTTTAGCAGATGTTATTGCGGGTGTAGCGAAATGCTTGTGTTTCTAGCTCCGACAGTGCAGTATATCTAACAAGTAGTATATAACAATTTCACAAGATATACCCAATACACACAAATCTAAGTAAAGCAGTGGAATTAAGAATATATAAATAAATATGTGGACGAGCAATGTCAGAACGGCATAGACTAAGATACAGTAGAATATTATAGAATACAGTATATACATATGAGATGAGTAATGCAAGATATAGAAACATTATTAAAGTGACTAGTGTTCCATTTATTAAAGTGGCCAGTGATTTCTGATCTATGTATATAGGCAGCATCCTCTAATGTGCCAGTGAAGGCTATTTAACAGTCTGATGGCCTTGTGATGGAAGCTGTTTTTCAGTCTCTCAGTCCCAGCTTTGATGCACCTGTACTGACCTCGCCTTCTGGATGATAGCGGGGTGAACAGGCAGTGGCTCAGGTGGTTGTTGTCCTTGATGATCTTTTTGGACTTCCTGTGACATCGAGTGCTGTAGGTGTGTTAGAGTCTGGTCTGCCGTCTGCAGGGGTGGCAGGTAGCTTAGTGGGTAAGAGAGTTGTGCCAGTAACCGAAAGGTCGCTGGTTCTAATCCCCGGGCCGACTAGGTGAAAAATCTGTCGATGTGCCATTAAGCAAGGCACTTAACCCTAAATGCTCCTGTAAGTCGCTCTGGATAAGAGCGTCTGCTAAATGACAAAAAAAAATTAAAAAATGATTCATTAGCTTGTGTTGCACTTAACACCAGATGTTTTGGTTGAGTTGATTTCTTTGTATTTTCCCCCCTCTGTTTTTATCTCTGTTTTTAAATATTTCCACATGCATAAGCCTGAGTTATTGCTACTTGGAAAAGCATTAGATAATTTGCTTGCGATTGAATATGAAAAAAAAAGAGATTGCAAAGTCATATCATAACTTAAATGTTATGTTATGACAAGGTTGTTACTAGAGTAATTCAATTGTTATGCTCTTTCAGGCATCTGGGTATGGGAGTGGAGACGACTCCTTCGATGACACAGAAACTATGGATGAAGTGAAGAAGGTAGTGGAGGAGAGAGAGTACACCATGGTGAGTGACCGACACATCAGCGGCAACCGTGACCACTGGCTCACCCTTCTCGCCTTGCAAACACACACACACACACACACACACACACACACACACACACACACACACACACACACACACACACACACACACACACACACACACACACACACACACACACACACACACACACACACACACACACACACACACACACACACACACACACACAGACCCAACCATGTATGGTATATAAACATGTAGACATTTTTTATCACACTCTCATAAACCCACAAGGATAGTTTACGAAATACTTCAATTCAAACGTCAACAAAATGTACACCTTCTAAATCCATACTTCCACAGTGTTTTTACAGTACATCCAGAATCAAAGGGCCTGGGATCAATCCAATTAAAAAATGTAATCCTAATAGGGCCAGTTAGGTGGGAGACGTGGATATATGCCGTTCCTCCTGCCAGGTCCTCTATCTGAGAAATGCTGTTAGTTCAGCCAGATCTGGCCTGATGTTCTTGGACCATGTCTGGGAAGAAAACATTTCCTCTTCTGAATGCAGCTGCTTTCTGACACATCTGTGCTCCTCCCCCATATCTCAACACAGCCATTTAGATAAGAACACGTTGGTTATTCCCAGAGATGGAAATTAAGCTAGCTCGTTTGATATAGAGTGTATTAGAAAAGGTCAGAGTGAGTTCTGCATCCAAAAACATGTTACTATCTGTCTCACTCCCACTCCTCTATTGCATCCCTCTGCCCGTTTGGAGTGAGATGTCTTGGTCTTTAGCTTGGACATTTTAATGCCTCAAAAATGATCTAAAGTTGACAGACACATCCCATGCTATATGTCGTGGAGATCATGCTTTGTTGACAAGATAATATACTGGCGCCGTCTAACTATCCCTTGAACACTGCCTTCCATCATCTTTTCAGTGCATTGAACTTTCACATGGACACCAAGGAGTTTCTCTTCCAATATCCCATTAGCTTTTTCTCTCCCATTACATTTACATTTTAGTCATTTAGCAGACGCTCTTATCCAGAGCGAGTTACAGTTAGTGAGTCCATAATTTTTTTTCTCCATACTGGCCCCCCGTGGGAAACGAACCCACAACCCTGGCGTTGCAAGCGCCATGCTCGACCAACTGAGCTACAACTGAGCTACACGGGTTGGATATGATCTGAAAGAATGTGATGAGTTCAAGTGTTCAGTGGGAGAGACCACACAATGTGCAGGTCAATGGTAATTTTCTAGGACACTTCAGGGAAGCATACTTCTAAGTACAAGGACAGTAGTAACCCCACTTTGAAGCACCACATGGTTGTGGCTAGTTAGTTAGGCTTCACACTATCAGGGTTACTTACCTCTCTCTCTCTCGCTCTCTCTCTCTCTCTCTCTCTGTCTCTCTCGTGGTCTCGCTCTCTCTCCCCCCTTCTCTCTTGTGGTCTCTCTCGCTCTCACTCTCTCAGGTATTCTGCCACTGTGTGCACTCTGTTTAGGGCCAAATAGCATTATAGTTTGCTCTTTCTTTTTGTTAATTCTTTCCAATGTGTCAAGTAATTATCTTATTGTTTTCTCATGATTTGGTTGGCTCTAATTGTGTTGCTGTCCTGGGGCTCTGTGGGGTCTGTTTGTGTTTGTGAACAGAGCCTCAGGACCAGCTTGCTTAGGGGACTCTTCTCCAGGTTCATCTCTCTGTAGGTGATGGATTTGTTATGGAAGGTTTGGGAATCGCTTCCTTTTAGGTGGATATAGAATTTAACAGCTCTTTTCTGGATTTTGATCATTAGCGGGTATCGGCCTAATTCTGCTCTGCATGCATTATTTGGTGTTTTACGTTGTACACGTAAAGGATATACTCTCTCTCCCCTTCTCACTCTTGCGGTCTCTCTCTCTCATTCTCTCTCCACTTCTCTCTCCTTTTCTCTCACTCTCTCTGTGTGTCTCTGTCTCTCCCTCATTATCTTGTTTCCTGTCTCTCTCATTCTCTCTCTCTCTTTCCCTCTCTTCTCGCTGCCTCTCCCTCTCTCTCTTGTGCCATCTGTCTCTCTCTCTTCTCTCTCCTTTTCTCTCTCTCTCTCTGTCTCTGTCTCTGTCTCTCCCTCATTATCTGTTTCTGTCTCTCTCCTCCTCATTCCTCTCCTCTCCCCTCTCTCGTCTTTCCCGATCTCTCCCAAAAAAAAAAACGTGCCTCTCTCTCTCCTCTCTCTCTCTCTCTGCCTCTCTCTCTCCTCTCTCTCTCTCTCATCTCTCTCTCTCTCTCTCTCTCTCTCTCCCCTTCTCTCTCTTGCGGTCTCTTTCCCTCTCTCTCTCCGTCTCCCTGTCTCGCTCTCTCTCTCTCTTGGGTTAGACTCAGGATGGGTGATTTGGCTGCTAAACCTCACTCTGTTCCAGTATGGGTCCATGGTATGCACTGACCTCTGGCTAATGAGTGTTGGGTGTGTGCGTTGTGGAGTAGGATGAAGTTGGCCCAAATCACTGATCTAGGGTCAGTTTTCTTCCCTAATGGGGAAAGTTAGGATTTTCTGAGGGAAAACTGGTCCTAGATCTGTGCCCATGGGTGGCTTCATCCGGGAGCATAGGATGTACTGAGGCAGGGGAGAGTATCTCTGGCATTCCAAGTGTGTTTGTGGATCCGGTCCCAGCCTTTTCTTGCATAGCTGGTTTGGCAGGGCTCCTGGTCCGTCAGCCCACGCACAAACACATTCATACACACATATGCATGCTCACACATACAAATACAAACATAAACACATTAACACACACACACACACAAACACACACAAACACACATACACATAAACACATGTACCCATCCATAAGCTGTGAGCCAGAGAAGGAGAGGAAACACACCATGCCCCCTACCGGAAAATAGTATGAATTAGGCAGTTTGAGAAGATTTGAATCCCAAGCAACCTGCATACACATTGTTTGAAATACAATAGACCAACATAGCTACTGTAGTAGGTCAAAGCTGTGTGCTGCAAAACCTTGGTAGAGCATGGGTGAAGTAGGCCTGGTGGCGCTCATGTGAATCAAATTACATCAAATGATTTTACAACACCACAGTATTGCCACAGTTGTAAATGTGTAGTTTTAAATGTTTACAATTACCATTTCATTACTACAATGACTATTTTATATATTTTATACAGCCACCCCCAAGTTCAGACACTTAAATCAATTTTAGGCACACAATACCATACAGTTATTGCATAATCCTAACAGGGTGGAACCTAACAGCCTAAATTAGCCATCGCTCTGTGGGGGATTGAGATTAAGATAGCATAATGGTAAACACTTCAAGAGGATTTAAGTTCTAAAATGAAATGCATTTTGACATTTTATAAATGTTCTCTATAATTTAGCCTAACAGGGTGGAAATGTATGAGTGAGACAAACAGACTGAAACATGGAAAAATAGATCAAACCGAGTGTTTATGTTTATTTAGCTTTGCACCATTGTTTTCCCACCAAACAAATAATGGCACATCCTGAAGGTGATGTCATTGTGGGAAGGGGAAGTTTTCTTAAAGGAGAATTACTACAACCTAACAGGGTAGAAAGTAATAGTAGGGACACACAGAAAGTGTTAAATACAATAATAATAAATACAATAATCATGAGAAAAAAAACATTTTGATCAGAGAAATTTTAACTTGGACAATAAAATAATGAAGAAAGATTTTTAATATTTTATTATTTTATGGCTTATATTTATCATAGATGTTGATGAATAACACCCGGGGGCATGGCAAAAACGCCTAAAAAAGTATCTTTCAAAATCCATATTTTTTTGTTTTTAAGGTAAAGGACACCTGACATTTAGCAGACGCTCTTATCCAGAGCGACTTACAGTTAGTGAATACATATTTTTTTTATACTGGCCCCCCGTGGGAATCGAACCCACAACCCTGGCGTTGCAAACGCCATGCTCTATCAACTGAGCTACATCCCTGCCGGCCATTCCCTCCCCTACCCTGGACGAATTGTGCGCCGCCCATGAGTCTCCCGGTCGCGGCCGGCTGCGACAGAGCCTGGATTCGAACCAGGATCTCTAGTGGCACAGTTAGCACTGCGATGCAGTGCCTTAGACCACTGCGCCACTCAGGAGTACATGGCTTTACACTACCGTTCAAAAGTTTGGGGTCACTTAGAAATGTCCTTGTTTTCGAATGAAAATAACATCAAATTGATCAGAAATACAGTGTAGACATTGTTCATGTTGTAAATGGCTATTTAATGGAATATCTACATAGGCGTCCATCAGTCCTGTGTTCCAATGGCACGTTGTGTTTGCTAATCCAAGTTTATCATTTTAAAAGTCTAATTGATCATTAGAAAACCCTTTTGCAATTATATTAGCACCGCTGAAAACTGTTGTGCTGATTAAAGAAGCAATAAAACTGGCCTTCTTGAAACTAGTTGAGTATCTGGAGCATCAACAATTGTGGGTTCGATAACAAGCTCAAAATGGCCAGAAACAAATAACTTTCTTCTGAAACTCGTCAGTCTATTCTTATTCTGAGAAATGGCTATTCCATGCGAGAAATTGCCAAGAAACTGAAGATCTCGTACAACGCTGTGTACTACTCCCTTCACAGAACAGTGCAAACTGGCTCTAACCAGAATAGAAAGAGGAGTGGGAGGCCCCGGTGCACAACTGAGCAAGAGGACAAATACAGTTTGAGAAACAGGTGCCTCACAAGTCCTCAACTGGCAGCTTCATTAAATAGTACCCGCAAAACATCAGTCTCAACGTCAACAATGAAGAGGCGACTCCGGGATGCTGACCTTCTAGGCAGAGTTGCAAAGAAAAAGCCATATCTCAGACTGCCCATCTTAAACTTTTCTTTTTATTGGCCAGTCTGAGATATGGCTTTTTCTTTGCAACTCTGCCTAGAAGGTCAGCATCCCTGCAACCAAGCCTATGGTCTCATTAGTCTTCTCAAGTAGCCCCTGTGGATAGGCCAAGTAGGCCAAATACCCGCAGGGATCCTAGTACTCCTGGTTGGGAACCATCAGTTTGATGGCCAGCTAACTGCCTGTGAAGCCTCTGCACCTCAGCTTCCATCATCTGATTATTGATGTGCATGTGTTCCAGGATATTCTCAAGGAGACACTTGTGAGACTGTATCTTCTTGAGAACTTTCATCTTTCTCAAAGTGGCATTGTATGCCTGAACCACCTTTCTATCCACACACCTGACCATTTTCACCAGCTGGTCTCTCATGCTTTCAAAGTGCTTCTTTCTGTCCTGAAACTCATTCACCTTGTTCTCCTTTTCACAAATATCCACAATCAGAGAATCCATCTTTTTCACCAGTTTGCGGTTATACTCTCTCATGATGGGTTTCATTCCAGCCCTTGTTGGAATCCACAACAGGGCCCAGATTCACAAAACATCTCTTACGCAAAAACATAAGAAGCTTCTTAAGAAAAAAAAAGAAGTTCATAAGATAGTTCGTAAGTCCAATTCCTCAACGATATCTTAAGATTTAATGATTTTCCTACAAACTTTTCAAACATCGTCTTACGAATCTTCTAAACATGTTTGTTGCTAGGCAAACGATATAGCTAGTTATCTAGCTAGCAATGGCAACATGTTAGCATATTTCCTACTGAGATTACTGTTCTAAAACATGTTCTTCGGTTTGTGCGTGAATTAAACATGTTCAATTGCTTTCATGAGCTTTTTCTCTCACTGCCCTTAGTTTAAGACAATGGTTTAGCTATCTTGGAATTAAAGAACATTTTCAATAACTTTATTTTCAAGAATCTAACGTCTTCTTAACTTTTTGCTTAAGGAGAAACATAAGAAATTGCGCAAGAAAATTTACAATAACCTTTTTGAGGATTAGCAACTTTGCTTAACTTTCTTCTTAAGTCTATAGTTAGGGGGAAAATGGCAGTTAAGAAGACATTTCTTCTTAAGAAGGTTTTGTGAATCTGGGACCAGATCTCCTCCAGAGACATGGGAGAGGCAACAACATCAAAATCATACTTACTCTCGCTATCTGCCAATGGTGAAGATCACAGGCTCAAACTTTCCAGTGGTGTCAATGGCAAACATTTTCAAGCCTTGGGTTCAGAATGTGTTCACAAGAGTTGATGAAAGTTGTTCAAATAAAGTTCTGTAATAATCCACCAGAGAACCAGAAAATACATCTGAATCTGTGAGGACTGAAAGTAAATTCAGAAAATGTAACAAATGATCATGGCAACAATTCAAGCAAACATTCCAAAATCTCATGTCTCCTAAATATGAAATGCAAAGCCATAGCAACAATGCTTTAAAACAATTCAAGCAAACATTCAAAATTCTAGGCTTTTCCTAGGGCGGCAACAAAACCCATCTTGCAGAACATGGTAAACCTGACTCTAGCTGTATGTTCAAATGGTGCATTATTTTAAAACTCTTCCCTCTCTCCCCCTACCCCCTCAGCCAGAGGAGCCAATGATCACCCCTGTGCGCGCCCCTCCCACAGAGGCATCGCCCAGTGACGATGAGGAGGATGCTGACGAGACCTCGGGTCAGGACGTGGAGCTGACCACTGAGAGAGGTGAGAGAGAGGCATGGAGGGGAGACTGTACACAATTAATTCATTAGGGATAATTTGAAATGATAATCCACTGCATGAACATGTTATTATCCCTTGTGATATTGACATGAAGAGCCACCAGGGGGCGGTAAACCATGGTGAGGCACGGAGCCATTAACTGTACATTTGTATTGATGATTTTGTATCTTTGGCCACAGGACCAAGTCAGACAGCGGATGCAGCCTATAGACCAGGAAGTGTAAGTTTCAGTTGTTGACTTGAATGACAGATTGAATAGAATGCAACTGAAGACCTGGAGTGTGTTGCCTGCCCTATAGCAGTGGTTGTCAAATCTCTCCTTTGCTGTAGCCCTGAACTAGTTAATCTGTTTCACCTAGTCAAAGGCTTGATAATTAGTTGACAAGTTGAATCAGGTGTGCTAGCTCAATAGTTCAAATACATGGAGTTGCTGGGGGTCCCGGAGGAGTGGTTTGAGAATCCCTGCCCTATAGTACCTGACGAGCCATCAATAACAAATCATTTATTGCCAATATACCAGACATACCACATTTTACTAGCTTATTCTAAAACGTCCTTTCATGGTGTGAGTCTACTCTCTCCCTTCAGGTGACGCACAGTCAGAAAGGAGAGCGAGGAGACCCAGGGCCAGCCGGCCCCCCTGGCTCCCCCGGGCCCCCAGGCCCGCACAGCCCCTCAGGCGATGGCTCCTCTGGGGAGGGAGAGCCAGGACCCAGGGGCCCCCAGGGGCCTCCGGGACCAGCAGGAACACCCGGAGCACCCGGCAACGACGGCCAGCCAGTAAGAGCCTGTTTGTTACCACAACATCCCCTCCCTTCACTACCTATTGGTCATGTTCATCAGCACTGCATTGTAATTGGGAAAAATCGCTGTTGTATCTGGTTACGGTCGATTCATTCGTTCTCTCTGGCTCCTAGACAGTGCCTGTCAAACACCGAACAACTCCCCGCCTGATTTGTCATGCTACGCAATGCACAATAAACACAGTGAGAGCTCTGCAGTTGGTAGGCGATAGGAGAGCATTCTCTATTCTCCGTCTCACATCGAGAACATGCTATTCTTGTTATTTGTGTGGTTTGGCCCGCCCGGCATATTTTCAACAATATAGTTCAGTTCAATTGGTGTTCTCTCTCTGTAATTCTGTCTCTATAAACATCAGCTATTGTCTATTTTAATGGCCTATTTAGTTGGTTGCAGACCTTCAGCCATTGTACGTGACAGCTGTGTCATCTTGTTCAGTGGTTTAGAAGGGCAGTTTTTGATGTAGCTGACGTAAGTTTATGGGGTCAAAAATAGTTTTGGGTCTTTGTATTGTTGTTTTCTTTGTTCTGGAGGCAGTGGAGGGAAAGATGGCAACCCTGGAAGTATTATTTCTTAGGTATTAGGCCGTACAGTACACAATACATAGGACTTGACCCTGTTGTCCTGCTACGTACAATCACTCCCACCCTCTCTCTTTCTCAAGAACACAAATATTCTCATTCCACTGTACACACACCAAAGCTTCCCAGGCACAAACAAACACACACAACCACACACACACACACACACACACACACACCCACAGACACACCAGAGGAGGTTAATTGGGGAGGACGGGCTCGTAGTAATGGCTGGAGCGGAATATGTGGAATGGTATCAAATACATCAAACACATCGTTTCATTGTGTTTGGTGACATTCCATTCACTCCATTTCATCCATTATTATGAGCCGTCCTCCCCTCAGCAGCCTCCTGTGACATACACACACACACACACACACACACACACACACACACATAACCTGCCAATACCTCACAAGTGTGCACCAGACCCAGTCCCTTAGCCAATAACGGAGGAAAGGGGAATATAGTGATTTAGAAATGTTTTACAAAAATGAGGAAAGTTGAGTCATTGTGCATCCACCTCTAACAGCTGTAGTCCAAAATGGCTGACTATTTATTTACAACCCACGTCCCTGGACCTCAGAGATGAGTGATAGAGAGATGATCTTGTACGGTGGTCTCTCTAGCTGTTTTTGATCTGTTCTGTGCGTTTGAATGGTGGAACGAGAGCACCTGCCCACCTGTGGGCTTGATTATCTCTGAAGCCCAGGTCCCGACCTCTGTGGGGTGGGATATAGGTCTTGCTTACATGTGGTACATCTGTGTGGGGTTCTGTGTGTGTGCGTCTGTGTGCGTCTACATGTTTGTGTGTGTGTCTGCATGTGTGTGTGTGTGTCTGCATGTGTGTGTGTGCGTGTGTCTGCATGTGTGTGTGTGTGTGTGTGTGTGTGTGTGTGTGTGTGTGTGTGTGTGCGCACAGCCTTGTGAGTCGTAAAGGGGCTTCAGAAGAGATTAGATAACTGTTGTAGTGAATACTGGAGTGAATGTTCTCTTTGAACACTGTGTTTATGGAGTGAGATATAACTCGAGGAGAAAGGGCCACACATGAATCCAATCTCCAACTCCTGTCAATCCACCAATCATTGTTAGAAAGCCTACAGTACTGTACACGACCCATGTGGGTATCTTTATATGTTTCAACCAGCAGCCATTTCTCATGTTGATAATCCTCACTTGCTGTGTTCCTACCACAGGGAGAAAATGCAGTTCAGGGATTCCCAGGCTTGCCAGGAGATCCTGGTCCCAAAGGAGACAAGGTGCAAAAACACATAGTGTATAACCTCCTTTCACTGTTACAGAGGGTACATGATGTTCTAGTGACCTACAGGTCTTAGTGGCTACAAGGTCATGGGGGACTGTCACTGAATAGTTCAGCAGTGCTCTACTTCATTGCACATTTTTGATCTAGCCGAGCACCAACACACCCGATTCAACTAATCAAGGGCTGGTGATTAATTGAATCAGGTGTGTTAGTGCTGGGCTAGAACAAAAATATGCGTCATCCACCAAGGGTCCCGTACCGTAGGATTGGATTGAGAAATACTGGTCTAGTTGGTTGTTGTGTTTGACCCTGGATTGTGTGTTGGTTGTTGTGTTTGACCCTTGTAGGGTGATCCTGGAGTGGGGAAACCTGGTCCCCCCGGTCCTCCCGGGCCACCGGCCCGACCCAACTCATCCAGATCCCTGGTACGTAGTGGAATGAACCACCCTGGATGTGTGGATGGATGGATGGATGGATGGATGGATTAGTTGGTTGATTGATTCATTCATCAGTTCATTGATTTATTGTAAGTTGATGTGGTTTGCAGAATGGTGTGGACGGTTCAGGCTTTGAGGACTTTGACAGCGACACAGAGATTATGACAGTGAGTGGCCATCCTTTTCAAAACCCTAGAATCCACCTGCTGTTGTTCTACTCTCTGACTACAGCCACAAATACCATTTGTATACACACAGTTAGCATTAGCGTTTATGGGTTATGATAGTCATGTTATTTGTTAACATTAATGTTAATATTATTTATTTTCTACATCCAGGGTCCTCCTGGTCCACCGGGTCCTCCTGGGCTGCCTGGCCCCCCAGGTTCGTCTGAGGGCCTCTCTGCGTCACCTGGAGCCCCTGGGGCCCCCGGGAAAGATGGGAAGGATGGAGAGATGGGTAAACCTGGACTGCCTGTGAGTCACCAAACACTTTACTGAAACTCCATCACTCTCACTTACACTGTTAAAGCCAGTGAGTGGTAAAATGGCACCATCCATCTATCACTTGCAGTTCTAAGGGCCAATTAAGCAGCTGTTATAGCACACCCTGTGGAGAGGTCAGCATTGGTACATTCCAACCCACATTTGAAGGAGACTTCTAAAACTGTATTGTAGACACAACTAAATTATGTGGTGGTGTTCCAGTCCCTTTTTACGCCTCTGTTTCAGGTGATGCTGGGTTGGTTTAGTGGCTCTGGTTCTGGGTCTGGTTCTGGAGAGGTATTAAACTCTGGTCCTATCTGGTTATTGAACTGATGGGCCAAAAGGCATAATTTCCCCCACAACTTCACTTCATGCCCCATGTTTCTTAACACCAGTCACCTCTGCTTTTGCGTACTCTGTATGCTGCAGAACGAAGAACAAAGGGGGTGTGTGTGCGTGCGTGCGTGACCTTACAAATCAATTTCTTAGAACAAAGCGCTGCCAGATAATCAACAGCATGGAACTCCAGGTGTCTGCCAAAGATTTGTCAAACCCAGCGGCAACCTTCAGACAACCTTACCCCAATCCCTTCTGCTGCCCAGCACAGCTTTAACACATCTCTGACCGTTACATGACAAGAGATGCCTGGAAACCATTTGTGCATAATTCCCCTGCAACCCTGCAATTTGTTCCGTTTGCTTAAGCCTAGAATGTTCTGGAGGCCCAATGTTTATGTGAATGATTGAACGGGCGATTGTGGGACCCAGAGCAGCTGTTGCCATGGTGAGGTCACCATGGAGCTGGACCCTCATGATACCAATCTGGCTGCCTTGACAACTTGTATTGTAAATGATGCTTTCTGACCTGCGGTGACTTGGGGAGATTTTTACTGTGGGAAGGAGGGCTGTAGACAGAGGCATGGAGGCAAATATTTATTTGTAACTTTTTAAAAAAGTACGTTGGAATTTGACTTTCAATCATTTTAGTCATTTAGTAGACGCCCTTATCCAGAGCGACTTACAGTTAGTGCATACATTTTCCTTTTGCATATTTTTTTATTTATTTATTTTATTATTGTTGCATGTCTGTTAATCAATCCAGAAGGAAAGCAGGAGTGACATCACTCACACACCAGTTATTGTGTGTGTCACCCAGTCTCTTAGCCAAACTGTAAAAGGAGCTCAGTGTTTGTAAGCAAGTCTGCTCCCCTTTGCTACGGTAAACACAACCCCAGCCAGCATCTCTTTCGCCCCTGTCTCTCTGTGTGGTCTAGCCTGCCTGCGCCCCGCACTACAAGCTGCCTGGCCTGCTGTCCACAGAACATGTACACATCTCAGACATCTCGCCTGTTCAAAGCCAGGGACTTTGATCACAGAGCACTATGGGAATTCCAACCCTTTGTGTTTGACAGAGTAGGTCAAAGATTGCATTATCCGATTATACAGGGTCAGGTCTTTTTTTCAGCCCCCTAATGGTTAGGGATAGGATCGGAGGTAACTGGTTGGGTAATCTGATCCTAGATCTGTGGTTAAGGCCGACTTGTACCTGAACAGGTTTGACAGTTTGGTATTTTGGTATTTTATTAGGATCCCCATTAGCTGTTGCAAAAGCAGCAGCTACTCTTCCTGGGGTCCACACAAAACATGAAACATGACATAACACAGAACATTAATAGACAAGAACATAGCCTACATATCAATACATACACACAAACTATCTAGGTCAAATAGGGGAGAGGCGTTGTGCCGTGAAGTTTTGCTTTATCGTTTTTTTGAAACCAGGTTTTCTGTTTATTTGAGCAATATGAGATGGAACGGAGTTCCATGCAATAATGGCTCTATATAATACTGTACGCTTTCTTGAATTTGTTTTGGATTTGGGGACTGTGAAAAGACCCCTGGTGGCAAGTCCCCTGTAGCTCAGTTGATAGAGCATGGCGCTTGCAACGTCAGGGTTGTGGGTTCGTTTCCCACGGGGGGCCAGTATGAAAATGTATGCACTCACTAACTGTAAGTCACTCTGGATAAGAGCGTCTGCTAAATGACTAAAATGTAAATGTAATGTCTGGTGGGGTAAGTGTGTGTGTCAGAGCTGTGTGTAAGTTGACTATGCAAACAATTTGGGATTTTCCACACATTATAAAAAGAAGAAGTGATGCAGTCAGTCTCTCGTCAACTCCAGAGCCTGGAGAACTTGCTTTTTGGAGTGTGGTGTCAGAAAAAGCAGAGCATCTCTTTATTACAGATAGACCTCTCCCCATCTTTACAACCATTTAATCTATATATTTTGATCATGATAGTTTACAATCTAAGGTAACACCAAGTCATTTATTCTCCTCAACTTGTTCAACAGCCACACCATTCATTACCAGATTCAGCTGAGGTCTAGAACTTAGGGAATGATTGCCCATGTGATCATGCATTCCCAGTTCCCAACTTCCCACAGACAGACCCCTGATTACTTGGCTATGCTCCAGACAGCATGTAATACTGTAGCTACACACTGTTTGACTGTTTAATCAAAATACATGGCTGTTATGTGTCAAATCCACCCCAACATGTCCTCCAATCAACCTCCTCTTTGGTGAAGTACAGGGATCTCACAGTCATCTTTCCACAACACGTCACAATCTATTTCCATGGGATTTGGCAGTGTTTATGCCTACTTTCCCACTGGTGAGATATTGCTCAACAGCCTAATCCAACCTCATGACATTTTAATATGTTCTGAATGACAGATTACAGAATGTTATTGCCCAGACCAATAATCTCTCACTTAATCTGTTGAGAAACATTTTTACGTTTGTTTCACGATACGATTCATAAAATACAGTAAGACCGTTAACCAATGGACCAGTGGAGACAAAGATATTACGAGTCTAGTGTGGAAAGGTTAAAGGTTAAGAAGCGATGACGCAGCAATGTAATCTTGGCTCTGTGAGCTAATGGCTTCTGACTGCAGCTAGACGCTTCTCATGAAACATAGTCCTTCCCATTATCTGCATCGTTAGGGAAAACTTCCTTTTGACTTGAGAATGCAGGAGGCTTTTACTAACTGTGTGAATGGATTACTTACAGGACATTTATCACATGTCAGTTATCATCGTTGAAACTATGAATTGAGTTCTGGCTCTTCTGAATAGATTAATAGATTCATTATTTCTAAATTAGCTGGTGGACTAAAGATACAGTATATTGTCTTGCTGTGCTGTCAGATCAGACACTTCACAGCTAAATACAATCTGACAAATGGAATGATCCCATACTGGACAGAAATAGATTACGGAGAAACACATCTAATCTAAGTGATTGTTCTATCTCCCAGGGGGTTGATGGACATGATGGGAACCCTGGTCCAGCAGGCGAGAGAGGAGAGAAGGTACGACTTATGGATATAGACCTCTGATATCCTGTGTACTGATTGCATAGAATCTATCATCTCAAGACAGTCTCCATCTGATGTAAAAAGAGCTTCAATTTGATTGATTTAATTTGATTGAAACATTGATTTTCTTTGACAGGGTGAGCCGGGTCTGAGTGGACCACCTGGACTAAAGGTAAAGTCAGAGTCACGCTACTCCATCACTCCCCAACCTAGAAGTGACCCTAAAAACCACAACAGCCTTTCTCCACTATTCAAACCCAAACACAGTTGTTCCCCACATGTGAATCAAGTGATAATTACTGCTAATAACCAGAACCAAATAAATAAAGACTCACTCCATGGTCCAAAAACAATACCTAGGCCTAGCCATTCCCCCATCAGCGTTGTCAGATCTAAAGGAATAACATAGGCCTAAGCTACTGTGATGCCTCCAACTTCCAATGGGTTTAGTGGGAGCCCCCTCCATAATACTTACACCCATCCAGTTCATTCACATCTGCAAACATGGATGTTGTAATAATGTATGCTGCTTGAGGTGGTTTTTAGACTGAACCATTGTGGTTCTCTCGCAGGGGGAGCCAGGTGCTGCAGGGTTCCCAGGTCTGCCCGGCTCAGAGGGTCCAGAGGGGATGTCAGGCCTGAGGGGCCCTCCTGGGCCACCGGGACCCCCAGGACGGGGCTTCAGCTTGGACCTGGAGGTATGATTTCACTCATTCAGCTCTCCTGTCTGTCAGAGGGTCAACAACATACTGTACACCTGTTAGATTATTTTCAAGCTGTTTGAAATTAAGGATAACTAATACTGTTCTCATAGCAATGATAGTGGGTTGTATTATTATACAACTTTAGAGTGATTTACATTGTATGTTGGGAGGGATGAGGACAACGACTCGCCCTATACATCACCAATGTGTAGAACCCACCTTAGTGATGCTCGGCAGCCATTTTGTGCCAGAGGGCTCATCACCACACACCAGTTGTCATTGACTGTATGTTGTTTACAGGACATGGAGGGGTCTGGGACACTCGGTGGCTTTGGGGCAGTGATGCCCAGAGGCCCTCAGGTAAGAACACAAAGAATGGTTTCTATATGGAGCTGTTGGGACACCATTTTGCTTATAAGATTGATATACAGTACCAGTCAAAAGTTTGGACACACCTACTCATTCAAGGGTTTTTATTTATTTTTACTATTTTCTACATTGTAGAATAATATTGAAGACATCAAAACTATGAAATAACACATATGGAATCATGTAGTAACCAAAAAAGTGTTTAACAAATCCAAATATATGTTATATTTGAGATTCTTCAAATAGTCACCCTTCGCCTTGATGATAGCTTTGCACACTCTTGGCATTCTCTCAACCAGCTTAACCTGGAATGCTTTTCCAACAGTCTTGAAAGAGTTCCTACATATGCTGAGCACTTGTTGGCTGCTTTTCCTTCACTCTGCGGTCCGACTCATCCCAAACCATCTCAATTGGGTTGAGGTCGGGGGATTGTGGAGGCCAGGTCATCTGATGCAGCCCTCCATCACTCTCCTTCTTGGTAAAATAGCCCTTACACAGCCTGGAGGTGTGTTGGGTCATTGTCCTGTTGAAAAACAAATGATAGTCCCACTAAGCCCAAACCAGATGGGATGGCGTATCGCTGCAGAATGCTGTGGTAGCCATGCTGGTTAAGTGTGCCTTGAATTCAAAATAAATCACAGACAGTGTCACCAGCAAAGCACCCCTACACCATAACACCTCCTGCTCCATGCTTTACGGTGGGAAATACACATGCGGAGATCATCTGTTCACCCACACCGTGTCTCACAAAGACACGGCGGTTGGAACCAAAAATCTCCAATTTGGACTCCAGACCAAAGGACACATTTCTACCGGTCTAATGTCCATTGCTCGTGTTTCTTGGCCCAAGCACGTCTCTTCTTATTGGTGTCCTTTAGTAGTGTTTTCTTTGCAGCAATTCGACCATGAAGGCCTGATTCACACAGTCCCCTCTGAACAGTTGATGTTGAGATGTGTTTGTGACTTGAACTCTGGGAAGCATTTATTTGGGCTGCAATTTCTGAGGCTGGTAGCTCTAATGAACTTATCCTCTGCAGCAAAGGTAACTCTGGGTCTTCCATTCCTGTGGCGGTCCTCATGAGAGCAAGTTTCATCATAGTGCTTGATGGTTTTTGCGACTGCACTTGAAGAAACTTTCAAAGTTCTTGAAATGTTACGTATTGACTTACCTTCATGTCTTAAAGTAATGATGGACTGTCATTTCTCTTTGCTTATTTGAGCTGTTCTTGCCATAATATGGACTTTTTTATTTTTTACCAAATAGGTCTATCTTCTGTATACCCCCCTACCTTGTCACAACACAACTGACTGGCTCAAACGCATTTAGAAGGAAATACATTCCACAAATTAACATTTAAGAAGGAACAGCTGTTAATTGAAATGCATTCTAGGTGACTACCCCATGAAGCTGGTAGAGAGATTGCCAGAGTGTGCAAAGCTGTCATCAAGGCAAAGGGTGGCTATTTGAAGAATCTCAAATGTAAAATATATTTTGATTTGTTTAACACTTCTTTGGTTACTACATGATTCCATATGTGTTATTTCATAGTTTTGATGTCTTCACTATTATTTTACAACGTAAAAAATAGTAAAAAATTAAGAAAAACCCTTGAATGAGTAGGTGTGTCCAAACTTTTGACTGGTAGTGTATATATGAACATTTGTATGATTAATACTAACAATCATTTTTACCTGGTGCTATCCACAGGGTCCTATTGGGAAACCTGGCCCTCCAGGACCAAAGGTACTGTAGGCCCTCATGTCTAATATCACTGATACAGTTGGCTTACTCTATGTACCTATCAGGCATGTTTTAATACAATATCTACTTTCAAAAACACACTTCAACCAGACATCAAAGTCAACGTGTACTTGCAGTCGGCAGTCTTTTCACGACCCTTGAATGTTCGCATGTATGCTAGACACACAGTAGTGTATGTGCTAAAATGTCTATGTGTATTAGATCCTTGGGGTAAAGTGTGACTCACTTGTTTCACCATTGACTGTGGTGGATGACAAACACCACCTTATCTAGAAAGGCCACTTGCTCACATCCTACTGCGCGCCACTTAAAGTATGAGTCATATGAATCACAGAGTCAGTCAAGTATACAGGTGGATAAGATCATAGGACTGAAATCTCGCAATACTTATAATGTGCTTCAAGTGGTTCTAAGAATGAACTTATCTGTTGCATATGTGGCTGTAAAGCTTTCACTTTCCTGCATAAACTATAACTATGTTGGTATTTGTTGTGAGTGTGCATGTGCTTGGGTTCATTTCTATTTGGTGTGTGTCAGAATATGTGGTTCTACATACCTGTAAAAGGTTTCCATACTGACGGCCATTTTGTTTCTCCTTCACAGGGCAAAGATGGGCAGGACGGGCTTCCTGGTGTAGCGGTAAAGGTGGGTCCCCCCTACTCAACTGGTTCCCATTCATCCTCTCAGAGGAAGTGCAGCCTTCCACACCATGTGCTTTCTATTAGCCTGCTAATTTCCAATGAATTCCTCTCTGACACGTCTTTGCACAGGCAGGGCCAGTCGCCCAGGTCTCAGGCACTGTACCTCACATGCACCAGCACCACCACCTTGATAGAGACATCAGCTAGCGTTAAAGGGAAAGTTCAGATAGCATTAAAGAGAAAGTTCACCCCGAAATCAAAGTTTGTCCAATGTAAACTAACTACAGTTTTTTTTTTAATGCGAGGGGGGGAAACTAACTCAATATACTTTCAAATGATTAAAACAAAATCAAAACTGTGTAGAAATGATAATGGACCTATATTCATACAGTTTCTTGACTGTCCAGCTCGCTAAAAATCACTACAGTCAGGGGGCACCGAAAATTCGATGGATAGAAGACAATTTCTTGCAAATTTTGACGGCAAGGAAATATAAGACATTTTCAGTGTGGCCTTCTGGAACTCGTTGA